AAATACTTCAAATCATGCATGACATTAGATACCTTGAAGAACTGGTGAATCCTAGTGAGTAGTAGGAGAGCTGAGGTGAGTCAATGGTAGGACTATTAACATCACCTACAGTGAATGTACTATCCTCAATAGGACTAGTGGTACCAGGGAACTAAGAGATAGAAAAAGAAGAGAGAGAGAGGAAGTTTAAAGAGAGAGGGTGAGATGTTTGACAAAGGAAATCAAGGCCCCCATTATGGTGATGGCAAATTTAAAGTGTTTTTTTTTTCTTAGAAAAGGGACAAACACGAGTTGGTGATTGCATGCATACACTGCAAAGTGACAAAATAACAGATAGTGTCTGCTAACATAATAAACTATATAATAATAAAACTAACGTTTTCGTCAAAGCTTGTACGGGAAAATGAGTCAGACCTACTTGATGTAACAGAGTCTCTTCTACCTACAAACAAGCAAAAAAATAATGATGACAAGTCACTATGAAAAGAATCAGAATGTTCAAAGGAAGTCATATCTTCCGTAGAGTAACAGGACACAATGACAGTGACCATACAATAGCTTGTGTTTGCGTGCTGTGAATTGCATGTTGGATGTTGTACACATGTCAGTACTGGCAAGTGTTCATAACATGTGTAGTTTGTTTTGGTAGCATGAGATTTAATCTCTTTTTTTGTGAGTGAGTTCTGTGTGGTCTGTACCTATTAAGTATGCCTCTATTCCTTTGCTAAAGCTCTCAAATGTTATTACACCAGTTCTTTTAGGGTCCAATTCATGAATTAACTGATCTATTCTCTAAATAGAAAATAAGGAGAAGGAGAAAGTGAAGGGTAAGGGTAAAATGAAAGTATTAGGAAAGGAAGAGAGACCAGGGGAATACATCAGCTCAGGAAATAAAGTTTAAGAGTAATGTAGGCTAAATGATAATATCTAATAAAGGAAGTCATCAGTAAATAAGTTAAATAATAATCATACTAACACTGTGAATCAACAACAACAACAACTACTACAACCAAAGTAATAAACAATAAAAATATCTTTACTCTTCGACACATTTCACGTTGTATATTAACAAAATGACAACTGGAATTCTAAATTGATAATCTTTTGGCTCACAATCATGTACATGTAGTACAATAAAAGTATTATCATTTGTACTAATGCACGAAGCCAAATATTTTGAATGCTTGATAGCAAATAAGAGCT